TAATATTTTTAATTAAAATATAATAATATAATAATATAATAATAAAATACAATCGTTCGTGAGATTTATATGACTATCGTTACTGTCTTCAATTATTTATATAATAATAAAATACAATTGGCCGTGAGATTTATTTATTTTGACAAATATCTTTTTTTAATTACAGAGTACTGAGGAAGCCGACGAGGCAGTGATCACCCTGCTAAGGAACGTTTACTTCGTTGCTTCGGAGAACCTGCCCCTCCAGAAATTCGAATCCCTTCACAACCTTGCTGAGTTACACGGGGCAAAAATCACGTCAAAGCTCTATAGAGAGGATACGGCAGCGTCTGAATTCATTACTATTATCTCGGATCTCATTGAAGAGGGACTGCTAGCGGAGATTCGTGCGAGTCCAGCGATTGCTTTCATTATCGATGAAAGTACCGACCTATCCAGTGAAAAACATTTAATACTATATATATGTTATTTAAAAGATGGTGTCTTGTCAATCAAATTTGTCAAATTGTTACGTGTGCATGCTGCTGATGCTCAGAGCATTACTTCTGCATTGTTGGCTTTTTTTAAGACTTCTGGTGTTGTGTTGGGGAAAGTGTATGGGATGGGCTCAGATGGTGCTGCTGTTATGTTAGGCAAACGGGGTGGTGTGGCTGCCAACATGAAGGATTTCTGTCCTCATCTTGTTGAGATGCATTGTGTTGCACACAGACTGGCTTTGGCATGTGTGGACGTCGCGAAAGCAGTGAAGGAGGTCTCATACTATGAGAGTATTTTGAACACCATTTGTTCATTTTTCAACCGTTCGCCGAAGTGTTTGTCGAATCTCCAGATGTGGCAAGATTTCCTGGACGAACCTCAAGTAAGACCATCGGAGGTACACCGTGTGAGATGGTTGTCCATGACACGATCAATTGACAACTGTTCTAAAGCTTTGCCTGCCCTTATTGCCATGCTTGAGGATAATAGTGACACGGACATGATGGCAGACTCTTTACTGCGACAATTGACTACCTACAAATTTAGATTTTTAACAGCTTTCTTACAGGACGTTTTTGGTATGATAGGGACTGTAAGTAGAGCTTTACAGACACGTGACTTGACCTACGGTGACATGAGGAGGACTATCGACACGTTTCTAGATGGACTTAAGGGACAGTACCTGACCGAAACTCCGACGTATGGACCGAAGTTACGAGAATTTTGACGATTCTGACGAGTTTGAAAGTGTCAAAATGACGAGATCACATCATGACAGAACACTGACTGATAGGGCTAGGGACTGCGTACAGGTTTTAGTTGACAATGTGACGGACAGATTCCCCGACAACGAACTGTACAGTGCATTTGGTGCACTTGACCCAACGGCCTTCCCTGACAACACAGGTGACTTGGCAAGTTATGGGGACGAGAGTATAGCGACTTTAGGACGCCATTACGGTAGCAGACGACAAGGACATACACCTGTTGACAAAGACGCTCTGGAGAGAGAATGGGGGATATTTCGGCCTTTGGTGTACAACAATTACAGACAGTTGACATATGGACAGATGTTAGTTACTGCCTATGCTTCTAAATTGACGGAACAATTCCCTAATGTAGTGAAACTAATGGAAATCGGACGCATTTTGCCCGTATCCAGTGTAGAGTGTGAGCGAGGTTTTTCCAAACAAAACCTCATCAAGACTCGACTAAGGTGCTCTTTGACGACGGAAACATTGGACAGACTGATGCGGATTTCAATTTGCGGACCAAGACTGAAGGACTTTGACCCTAGACGGACGCTAGGATGATGGAAGGGCAGACGACATAGACATTTGTACAGCGGCAACAAATTGATAGCCAAGATATCGAAACCAACCGGTCGATAGATGATGCGGGAAAAGTATGGCATTGTTATTATTAATATTTATATTTATGCATGTAAATAAAACTACAAACAACATGTATACCGGTGTTTTTATTGTTTATATATTATGAACACGACATATGAAAGGTCTTACTGAAATACGATCCGCGATTTGAAGGGGGCGTGGCCTAAATACAAATGTCCGATTGAGATTTTAAATTTTCCGGACACCTGATCTACACCCTATTGCTAGGTTCGAACCTGCAGTAAGTATCTGTGAAATCACCGCAAAATATTCAAGAGTTGATTCTAATATATATGTATATCCTGAAGCTTGGGTCGAACCTGCAGCAAAAATCTCTAAAATCAACACAAATTGATTCTAATATATACTTACTTTACTTACATTCTAACCTGGGGTAAGAATCAAGGAATTCCACACAATCTACCAAATTGTTGATTCTAATACAGATCTACATACTTTAGCTAGATTCAAACATGGAGTAACACCTTAAGAAATTATTACAAAATACCTAACAGAGGTTCAAGAATAGATCCATTTCCAGCCAGACTCAAAATATTTATTTCCAAGGGAATGTGATTTGTATATCTTCTGTATATCTGTTTATAGTATGTTAATTGTACAAATGTGTTCATATATAGTGTTGCTTGGGCAATGAACTTTTTTCATCTTTCTTATTAGATACATGGGTGGAGGCGAAAATGGTTCCTCTATTGCTAATAACGATATATGTGGTAGTATATCTGATTTATGTTATTTGTTACATATTATTTGATGTATTTACATATTATTTCCTGTTTTCCAGTTGTTCACACATAACTACATACATTCACATGTATACAGTTATCATGGAACTGTTCTGGGTGAACAATACCTTCCAAATGACGTGCTGGTTTTCTGGGGAATTAGTCAGCAAAGACCCGGAGTCTCAGGAGACTAATCACAATTTTATTTACAAGAACAATTAACAATTTACACTATACTTAGAAAATAACTGAGGGTGCCACAGAGAGTCGGTACAACACTCTGGGCTGTGGGAGAGAGGTCTGCTTGGTAAGAGAGTCAAACCCCTTCTCTCTCTCTTTTTCAATCTCTCTGGACCAAGGCTTATATAGCCAAGGTCACCTGACATTTAGTAAGTAATAAATATAAATGTAAACAGTAAATCATAAGTGACATACTTGCACATCCTGTTCAGGATGGCAGACGGTCGATGTACACAAAAATGGGGATTAACAAATAGGATTTGCATCTAATAAATAACAGCAATTAAATGTTTCAAGGCATATAGATGTTATGGCTCCAGGGTAATGAGCCTTTGCAATTAAATGTTCTTTAGACAATGGGTGTCGTAAATCAGTCACCATGACACAGTTCTTCAGAGTTTTCACCTTCATCACAGTTTACAATATCGGCCCATGTACCGCCGAGCATTGTGATAGTAGCTGACTCAGGGGGCTAATTTCGAATGTAAACTTGTTTCAACTTTTCACAATTATTGGTGTTTGTCAGAGACAATGTGGGTTTAATTTCATTTATTTTACTTCAAAGGGTATAATATTTTCACAATAAGTTAGTTGCACCTCCCAATCAGAGTCGGCGAGTAATTTGGAATAGGGAGCTAATTTGTACTGTAAACTTGTTTTAAGATTTCACTATTGTTAGTCTTTATAAGAGACAATGTGAGTTCAATTTCATTTATTTAACTTAAAGGCATGTTAGGTTTTAACAATAAGTTGAGTTACTTATAGGCTAAGTTCGAATATAGTTGGAGTGTTGCTTGTTCATATTTGAGTATTTTCATACATTCATATACTTGAGCTATTGCTGAAATTGTGAAATTAAAGAACATTTAAAATGTATGAGGTATATTGATGGTTGTATATGATGTTCTGAAAGTGTAGCATTTCCTGCGCTAAATTTTTATATGTTGATAAACTAAGACACACAAGATGTGCAATAAAAGAAATTCACAACATTAACAGTGTTAATTTGTTTGAAATTATGATTGCTTGAGCATGTATTTGAATCATGTTGTCATAAAACACCAATTGATACAGTATACATGGTGTAGTGAGTGAGTATACCCGCCTACGCAGCTTTTAACAGTATTCCAGTTATAAGATTGCATGTCAGCTTAATGTGGGAGGTAAGCCAAAAGTGATGCAGCGAATCACGGGGCGTCAGTTACTAAATTACACAAATGGACATAGGACTACATGCACATAGATAATCTGTTTATTATTTTTTGGGGGTATACTGGGTATCTTTTTGTGTTATGAGTCTTACTTCAGAACCTATTCAATAACATTTCAATAATGTATCATTTTGCTTGAAATATGAAGAAACATTAGATTTCCTCTGGTAATAGATCAGAATATAAAACTACATTGATCTCTAAACTTTCATCAGGTTATCTTTAAAGATCATACAGTTATATGTGGTACTTCATTTATAGGCGTCAGTTTCAATAATATGAATCTCCCGTAGTCCTCACAGTTAGAACCGGCACTGATCGTCTGAATACATGCGTAAAATGTGGTCAATAGCGGACCAATGCTTCCCTAGTTTCAGAGGAGATAAAACCGGTATTTAAGACCCAAAATCCGTGTTTCACACAGGAACAGATCGCACCCTTAATCATGGAAATACCTCGAAAATAGGTGACGGGACAGAACAGTACGCATAATATACATGCAACTACTTGGCTAAACAGGTACAAATTTCAGCCAACAACACTACTGGACCCCAACTATTCTAATCCTTAAGACACTTAGCTTTCGACCTTGGTTTGTAAGATACAGTAAAAATTCCAGTCTTTGCATGGCTTCTGTACTGCAAGTCAGAAATGCTGATACTCCTTACAGCAACAGCTTCCTGGCGGAGCTCTTGAAATGCATATTAATATGAGACAAACGCTGTGGTGGAGTTTAGTGAATAATAGCAAGCTCCTCACAGCGATGTATGTGGTGCCTGAGGTTCAAACCTGCCTTGAGGCTTTAGATCAATACTACAATGTACCCTTCCATTTTTTTTAGGTCATTTCCCCATATCTTACCCAAAGGTTCAAACCCAACTACAGGCTTTAGATCAATTGTAGATTATGTCCTTGGGTATATTCTGAAGATATCGTAAGTTGTTACCCCAGGTTTGAGCCCAGCAAGGGGATGTAGATCCATACCAGAGTCAACCCTTGAGTATGCAGACCCCTCCTGTTTATATTTGTCAAGATTAAGAAATGTTTTTCACTGTCTTGTGACTGAAAAAGCATTATATGGTTATACTCCCTAATAAATTTCCTATCGACTCATGGATCTTTCATAATTATATTACAACTGACACTATGCTTGTTTTTGGAGAGCACTGAGTAAGGGGGTGGTGATACTTGATGTCTGACTTTGTTCATGCATGTCATTGTGTACCAACTGCTTATATGTACGCTCAATGCTAATGATGCCAATCACTGGATTCTGTGTTCAAAATTCCATTATTTAGAAACCGCTGCGATAAAGAACAAAGACATATTTTTAACATCTCAAACAAAAACTTTATTTTGATGATCATGCAAGGATAAATGCATGACAAAATGTCACTGATGTCCCTTATGTACACGGGGATCCTCTCCCCCTACATTGACAGTGACTGCTACCTACTCAGGGAGAACCTCACTGATGTCCCTTATGTACATGGGGATCCTCTCCCCCTACATTGACAGTGACTGCTACCTACCCAGGGAGAACCTCACTGATGTCCCTCCTGTACAGGGGGAACCCCTTCCCTACATTGACAGTGACTGCTACCTACCCAGGGAGAACCTCACTGATGTCCCTCCTGTACAGGGGGAACCCCTTCCCTACATTGACAGTGACTGCTACCTACCCAGGGAGAACCTCACTGATGTCCCTCCTGTACAGGGGGAACCCCTTCCCTACATTGACAGTGACTGCTACCTACCCAGGGAGAACCTCACTGATGTCCCTCCTGTACACGGGGGGAACCTCTCCCCCTACATTGACAGTGACTGCTACCTACCCAGGGAGAACCTCACTGACGTCCCTCCTGTACACGGGGATCCTCTCCCCCTACATTGACCGTGACTGCTACCTACCCAGGGAGAACCTCACTGACGTCCCTCCTGTACATGGGGATCCTCTCCCCCTACATTGACAGTGACTGCTCCCTACTCAGGGAGAACCTCACTGATGTCCCTCCTGTACACGGGGATCCTCTCCCCCTACATTGACCGTGACTGCTACCTACCCAGGGAGAACCTCACTGATGTCCCTCCTGTACACGGGGATCCTCTCCCCCTACATTGACCGTGACTGCTACCTACTCAGGGAGGACCTCACTGATGTCCCTCCTGTACACGGGGATCCTCTCCCCCTACATTGACAGTGACTGCTACCTACCCAGGGAGAACCTCACTGACGTCCCTCCTGTACATGGGGATCCTCTCCCCCTACATTGACCGTGACTGCTACCTACCCAGGGAGAACCTCACTGACGTCCCTCCTGTACATGGGAATCTCTCCCCCTACATTGACAGTGACTGCTCAGGTTCCTTATGTTCAAAGTCTTAATTTAGTCCACAAGTTTCAACGACACAGCACGACTCGTACTTTGCGGGATTTCCATCTTAATTTCACCACATGTGAGGAGATGGTTTTCAATTTCGTCCGCATTTCCCTGAATGTCCTCTTTCTGTGTGCTGATCAGAAACTCTGTCATGACTGCTGATGGAACCAAATACTTTGAGGAATTACCCTCCACAGATAGTTTACATAGCATGTTGTCTATCATTTTGTCTTTTTTCATCTTCATTTTACATTCCGGGCACTTTACGAATGGACTGCCTGTGTCCGTGGCAGTTACCGTTTTGCGGCACGAGAGACAGGCTTTGGATAAGGTGACGGTCACTAAAGTAACCTCACCTCTCACTACGACATTCTCCTTGATTCCAACATCTTCCTCGTTGATGTTTGGAATGTCGTCCACAACCAACCAGGACGATGATGGCGTCGTTGTTAGGTATTTCCTACCCATGTATTCCCAGACGCCAAGGGAGGTGAACTTGTATGTCATCCCCAATACAATTTTCTCTATATTGTCACTCCAGAGCTTGAGGTTTATAGCTCCACTTTGATCTCCAACTTTTACAGTTTTCACAGGTGTTTTCCTGTTCCACACAAGGACTTCTTGAATTTCTTCCACAGTCTCAATGACTTTTGCTGTGATGTTTACCTGAAAATATTTTAAAGTAGATTAAGAAAAGACAATATACTCGGATATCATTGAGCAGTCAAAACTGTTCTATGGTGTCTGTCCACAGTATTTTCATTCAGTTTCTGTTGATAGGTAAAATGTATAATCAAATGTTAAATACAAAGGTTTCTATCCAGGGTGGGCAGCATTAAGTTAACTTTACCCTACTATACGCCTACTGGGTGATGGTATTTGCAGAGAACTTCTGTTTTTTTATGAAAGATATGTGTTTACTTCATATACAATAACGATGCAGATCAAATTCCTTCTGTGATTTCAGGGGAACCATGCAGTAAAATAACTAAATTTATATTTCTAATGAATTGATCAATATAAACTTCAATCATCTGTATCCTATTTAGACATCTAAGTTGGCATGTATACAATTCATTTGTTACATTCTACTATACTTAAATATGGACTGTAAGATGTATGAAGACCTGTTTTAGGTTAAGCAATTGGATTGTTTATCAATGTATTTTCATATGTTTCTGAAAAACACATGTTTAAATGAAATATAACAGACAAAGCTCAAGACATTTATGTGAATAAAGGCAATATTGTGAGTATTGAATTAAGGAAATGTGTGCAAAAGACATTTCTTTTCAAACACAGTGGTTCTTGATCCAGATTGTAGGACAGTGACAAGAGTTCTTGTGTAATAAATGTTTGACATAAACAGACTGACGTTATTTACTTACTTCAGACTTTACAGATTTAAAGTTGCCTACTAGTCTTGCAGTCTTTGACGATGCATCGTGCAAAATTTGAAAATATCTACCAGATGCAATTATTATTTCGCTACCAGCATATGTCAATATCGGTTTGATAGTAAGAAACAGTATGACCACATTTTTATGGATTACAACTTTGAAATTATCATTTTGTATATCATTCAACTCAAAGTGAGTTCTATGAAAAACACAATAATTTTATCCAAAAGTATTTGTGTTTTGGGTAATATTACAATAGGTACATATTACTTAATTACGAATCTTGGTCACAGGTCAGGCTGATAAATACAAGTTATGAAAGTATGGTCTTTTTCAAAAGATCTAGCAATAATGGGATGAGAAGATATCAATATAACTTTAGTATAATCCCATTTAATTTAGAAAAGGTGATAGATCTTTTGGTGTAACTGTAAGGCAGTTGATATACTTACAATGGCTTGTGTTGGAATTTGTTCAACATCCTTAATTTCTGACGTCTTCATTTCTTTCACGATGTCTCCTGCCGAAGGTTCAAAATCAAGCTTTCTTGGGATGATTTTTGTGTGCTGATTGCCACTCAAATCCCACTGTGATGGATGGTTTCTGCCTAAAATGGAATTTCAATAAAGATTAGCATGGTTTAGAAGGCATCATGAGCAAGAAGGTAATTAAAACAAGAGTTATCAGAAAGATGACATATCCACCCTGGCAGCTGTTTGTAAAGTAACCACTAGTAAATGTGCATTTCTGTATGTAATGAGTCAACCGTTGAATGTTCTTTAAGAAGCATACATTGTTTACCCACTGAATGGGTTTCAAATTCTGGCCCGGAAATGAACCCGTTCCCCAATGGCGTCTAGGTCCAACTTTATTCCATAAAAATTGTAAAAAATAAAAATTCGTAAAAAAAATATATATCAATAGACACTTCAGTATGTGCCTGATAGCCTTGCCACGTTTCGATCAAATACACTGAATTGTTTTCGAATTCTGGTCTTTTCCTTTGTAAGCGTGTATATATTACCGGCAATTTATAAAATGTGTAAATATTTCAGTCATTTTGCCAAAAAAAATCTGTCCAGATTGATTAAGACAATCAAAAGGGCCTGCAAACATCACAACAGATTATTATGTAGGATTAGAGTGAGTGAGTGAGTTGGGTTTAATGCCGCTTTTAACAGTATTCCAGTTATATCGCGGCGTGTCAGCTTAATGGGGGAGGAAAGCCCGAAGTGATGCAGGTCTCAGACGTTTACCACTTCGGTGAAACCCACGAGCACGGGTATGGTGCTGACAAACCTAGAAACATAATCGGGGCGAACCGGGATTCGAACCCACAATCATAGGTTTCTGGCGTGCCCAAGGGACGCAACTCTGCACAGCGAATCGCGGCGCCTTAGACGACTGGGCCACCCGTGCCCCCTATGTAGGATTTGAAACCAAACAATATAGAAATGTACTTTTCAACCTAACATTTTCAGTCTCTTGGTGATGACATTAAACATCAAAATGTTTGGAATTCGTTATCATAATAATAGATTTTGGTATAGCTATGAGTGATGCATCAAATCATTTTCCATTGTACTGCTCGTTAAGAATTTCCTTGGATGATATTAATAATGAACATGAAGGTTGTGTAAGTGAGGTTTTCCTGATACTGATAAGGGTCCTCATGTTGTCAGTGAGTGGCCAAGATATATATGGAATGGCAATGAATGTCAAGTATTTATGGAGAACTTTATATCAAACCTATCAGATGTTTATCATGTTTTGGGTGATCAGATTATCAATGATGCAGAAGTAGCTTTAGACTCTATTGTCAAGATATATCAGTCCTCAGCAGAACAGTTTAAAAGAATATATAAAGGATGCCCTATAAGAATACGTAATCAACCTCCATGGTGGGATAGCGATTTAGAAGATTTAAAAAATAGAAAGTATCATGCTCTTCGGGCCCATAGAGACCAGAGTTATGACTTTAGTGAATTTAGAAAGTTGCGCAACTTGTTTAAATCTAAATTTAGATTTAAGAAATATGTTTACCAGAATGATATGAGACAAAATTTAATTGACTGTAGAAACAATGCTAAATTATTTTGGAGAAGGCTAAAACAGGGTGCTTATGGTGAAAGCATTTCACAGCAAATTAGTAGCTATGATTGGATACAGCATTTTAGTAACCTTCTGTGTGTAGACAACATATCCACTGAGGGTTTTGATTGTGACATATGTAATACGGAGGCAGAAGAGGCGTCTACATTTAACTTAAATGGCCCTATTACTATGAAGGAAGTTTTGTTTCATATTGAAAAGTTGGGATTAAATAAATCCCCTGGTCCTGATGGCCTTGCTGCTGAATTTCTGAAAGCATCATCAGATTATATTCTACCTGTGTTGGTCTTATTGTTTAACAACATATTTGATAATGGTGAATTCCCTAAAGAATGGGGGAAAAGTATAATATGTCCTTTATTTAAGTCAGGAGATAAACACTGTATTGATAATTATCGTGGAATCTCCTTGATAGATATTATTTGTAAAGTTTTTTGCTCTACTCTTAACTCCAGACTGCATCTTTGGTGTGACGAACATAATGTCATTAATGAAGCACAGTTTGGCTTCAGAGCTAATCGCTCCACTATTGATAGTATTTTCTGTTTGCAATCTATTGCCCAAAAATATGCCCATAGGAAAAATGGAAGATTTTATTGTTTATTTATAGACTTTTCAAAGGCTTTTGATTTGATTAAACATGACGTTTTGTTAAAAAGCTTAAATGAGTTAATGGCAAATTTTTTAAGATAATAGTTTCAATGTATTCAAATTTAAGTGCTTGTGTAAGACTCTCTAGTGGTTTATCAAATTATTTTAGGTGCAACATTGGTGCGAGGCAGGGATGTACCTTAAGCCCACACTTTTTTATTATTTTTATAAACAAGTTAATGTACTTCATGCAAGAAACTGGTGGCAGGGGTGTCTATGTTTCACCTTCCTTTAAAGAGATGTTTGTTTTGATGTTTGCTGACGATGTGTCATCTCTGGCAGATTCGTGTTTACAGTTACAAAAAAAGATATATGCCTTGGAACACTTTTGTGATGTAACGGGTATGAAAGTTAATTTGAATAAAACAAAGATAATGGTTTTTCGTAATGGAGGCCCTTTGCATGCATATGAGAAGTGGTATTTTATGGGAAAACAGATTGATGTTGTATCAACATATACATATCTGGGTCTGTTTTTTACGCCCAAACTTGTTTTGAGTAAGGCACATCTTTCACTTACCGCACAAGCACAAAAGGCTTTATTGGCTATTTATACATATTCCAGGAAATTTGGTAATTTATCATGTAAAGATTTGTTTAAAATATTTGATGCTACAGTTGTACCCATTCTTTGTTATGGTGCAGAGATATGGGGTGTGAATTATTGTAGGAGAGTGGAAAGTGTACAGATAAAGTTATGTAAATGGATACTTAAAGTTGGTAAAAGTACTACAAATAATATGGTTCTAGGGGAATGTGGAAGAATTCCTCTCCAGTATATTTATATGACAAGAGCAGTTAAATATTGGACTAAACTTATTAATTTAAATGACAATAGATTACCATTTCAATGTTATAGCATGATGTTATCACAGGATGAGAGTGGAAGAGTAAATTGGGTCACACATATAAAACATTCTGTTTCAATTTGGATTTGGATTTGTTTGGGTTACACAGGATGTGGGTCATATTGATACATTTATTTCAACATTCAAGCAGAGATTGTTTGATAATCTCCATCAAAAATGGGTTGCAGAAGTAGGTAACTCTTCAAAGACATATTATTATAGGTAGTTTAAGTCATTACTCAATGTTGAATTGTATCTATCCTATAATCTACCTTTATCTATCAGGACAGCCATGTCAAGATTTAGATGTGGTAATTATGGACTTGCAACAGAAACGGGACGTTATAATAATATTGAATACTTAATGCGATTGTGCCCTTTTTGTTTCAAGGAAGGTATTTCATCTATTGAAGATGAACATCATGTATTAGTTGTGTGTTAACAGTATGATACCTTAAGAAGTACGTACATTGTTAAGCACTTTAGATCAGCCTCATTACAGGCGTTTATTAGTATTATGTCATCAGATAACTATAATGTTATTCATGATACTTGTCAGTATTTGCATAAAGTTTATAAACACAGAATTGCACTCTTAAATGATGAGTGATATTTATAGTTCATTGAAACATAATGTCTCAATGTCAAACAACTACTGTCAACATTTGAAACATGTACCAACTTTCTTGCATATGATTGACATTGTACATCTGCCTTTATATTAGCGTAAGCGCAGTACATGTTAATAAAATCAAGCATGTATTATGGGCCTTTGGCCTTTATACTGTAATAGAGAATCTGAATCTAATACAGATGGAAATGTTTTTTCAGTCACTTTGTAAAATAACTGAATATTTAGACGTTTAATAAATTTGTTACACATTTGACAGTAAAAATAATATACACACTATAAAAAAAGCAATGCTCAGGTGAAATATTTACTTTGTGTTGCAAGTCAAAATAGTGTAGAAGAAAATCGCAAAATTACCAGGCAAGTGACTTATCAAAACTTCGTCACCATTACCGATGCTACCCACAAAGATACCTACATTTCCTTATTATCACCAAAACTGTATTTCATTTTGTTGATAAATGTGACCATACGCCCTTATTACTACCCATTAAAGTGACAAATGCGTTTACGAATGGCGCAGCAGAGGTCGCGAACTAGTCTAGATTTCTGCTATATATCCGGGTACTCACTGGGAAAAAAACCCAGTGTGAAAAGTGTAAAAATATTTAATAAAATAAAAGGTTAACACTTACTGGGAATGTCAGTGACTCCAAGTAGCTCAATGCCTTCTTTGGTTTTACTTCTTGCATCGAACTCGTTACGCTTCTCAGTGCTGCCCGAGTAAATGACCACATCTCTTGTGGAACGTTCCCCCGTCTGCAACTTCACGTTAAAGTAAGGAGTGCCATACTTAGTTCCTAGTTTGATGGGTGACACGTTCACCACGTAACCTTTTCTAGACTCATCTGTCGTGTCGTCTCTTTTCATCTTCTTGGAACTCGACGGAATATTTATTTCTCCCTTAAAAATACATTGAAAATCGTAATAGAATTAGTTTTGAAACTTTTTTTTTATAGATAATCGTTAATATGCAATCTTTTAAAAGGATATCTACTTTATGATTAAATATGAGTTCATTCGGTAAATTCCGTAAATCTCGGTCGTGCCACCGGAGAGGAATCGTAGATAATTGACAATCTTTGGTATGGTCACTTGGCCGGAAGGAGGTTAAACCGGTGGGGGGGGGGGGGGGGGGGGGGGGAAATGTGTGTGTGTGTGTGTGTGTGTGTGTGTGTGTGTGTGTGTGTGTGTGTGTATGGATAAGCTTACGCCAGTACCGTTAAATGAAGGGAGCTGAGAATGGATGTTTGTTAGTTAGTTAGTTAGATTATGTTGTTTGGTTTTGGTAGTTTATTGGTTGATTGGAGAAGGCCCTTCCGAGGACGTTCTTTAGTATTCTTAGTTGATTTAAATTGTGTGAACGGGACTTATAGTGAAATTTTGCTGCAGCTTGCGTTGTTTACCCGCATAATGTACACTCTATTTCACTGAGACTGACAAGTGATCTATGTAGTCCATTACGGATAAACACAACCGCAGTTCGCTCAAAATTACACAGAAAGTCCACGAACTTGTTTATGAAATCCACAAACATATACCACAGGTTTACCGGATACAGCGTCAAGAGCAAGGACGCTTCTTTCAGTCTATTTACTGAACTGTCGTAAAATCTGACTGTTTTCCCCATAAAATGACATTTTCACAGTCGGATCACAGTTTGCTGTATGTAAACGTGGAATTTTGTGAAAGCATTTCAATGTCGAACGGCATATTTAAACACTAAA